AAGTACCTGGTTACAGATATTCCTAACACTGACCTTCACTGGAGACCGCACCTCCTCTGAATTGTTGCTGGGTTCAAGTGACAATGTGAGGTATCACATTGGCTGCAGAGAAACATTTTAGTCAGAATGAAAGAACCTGAACCCCTAGGTCTCTCTGTTTGACAACACTACCCAAAACCCTACCATTAACTGTATATGTCCTGCCCTTGTATGTTTTGCCAAAATGCAATACCTTGCATTTATCCAAATTGAACTTCGTCTGCCACTTCTCAGCCCATTGGTCCAATTGATCAAGAACTCTTTGTAATCTGAGATAACCTTCTTCACTGTTGACTATACTACCAATTTTGGTATCATCCACAAACTTTCTAACTATGCGTCCTAAATTCTCATCCAAATTGTTTATATAAATGACAAACAAAGGTGGACCCAACACTGATCCCTGTGAAACACCACTGAACACGGGCCTCCAGTCCGATAAATAACCCTCCATCACCATATTCTGTCTCCTACTGTCAAGCCAATTTTGTATTCAATTGGCAAGCTCTCCCTGAATCCCATGTGATCTAACTTTATCAATCAGTCTACATGCAAAACTTTGTCAAAAGCTTTACCAAATTCATGTAGACATTGTCTACCGCTCTGCCCTCATCAACCTTTTTGTTTACATCCTGAAAAAACTCAACCAAATTTGTGAGACATGATTTCAAAGCCATGCTGATGATTCCTAATCATTCCTTGCCTTTCCAAATGCATGTGAATCCTATCGCTTGGAATCCCCATCAACAACAACCTACACCACACCCGGCACTTTTCCCTGCAACTGCAGGAAGTGCTACACCTGCCGATACACCTCCCCCCTCACCCCCATCCCAGGCCCCAAGAAGACTTTCCACATCAAGCAGATGTTCACCTGCACATCTGCTAATGTGGTATACTGCATCTGCTGTTCCCGTTGTGGCCTCCTCTACATCGGGGAAACCAAGCGGAGGCTTGGGAACTGCTTTGCAGAACACCTACGCTCGGTTCGCACTAAACAACTGCACTTCCCAGTCGCGAACCATTTCAACTCCCCCTCCCATTCCTCAGACAACATGTCCATCCTGGGCCTCCTGCAGTGCCACAACGATGCTACCCGAAGGTTGCAGGAACAGCAACTCATATTCCGCTTGGGAACCCTGCAGCCCAATGGTATCAATGTGGACTTCACAAGCTTCAAAATCTCCCCACCCACTACTGCATCCCAAAACCAGCGCAGCTCGTCCCCGCCTCCCTAACCTGTCCTTCCTCCCACCTATCCCCTCCTCCCACCTCAAGCCCCACCCCCATCTCCTACCTACTAACCTCATCCCACCCCCTTGACCTGTCCGTCCTCCCTGGACTGACCTATCTCCTCCCTACCTCCCCACCTACAATCACCTTTACTGGCTCCATCCCCGTCTCTTTGACCTGTCTGTCTCCTCTCCACCTATCTTCTCCTCTATCCATCTTCTATCCGCCTCCCCCTCTCTCCCTATTTATTTCAGAACCCCCTTCACCTCCCCCATTTCTGAAGAAGGGTCTCGGCCCGAAACGTCAGCCTTCCTGTTCCTCTGATGCTGCTTGGTCTGCTGTGTTCATCCAGCTCTACACCTTGTTACCTACACACCACTGATGTCTGACTTACTGATCTATTGTTCCCAGGCTTCTCCTTTTAGCCTTTCTTAAATAAAGACAGTTGTTTTCCACCCTCCAGTCCTCCAGCATCTCACTCATGGCTGTAGATGATACCTATTCCTCTGCTAGAGGGTCTTGCAATTTCTTGTCTAACTTCCCACAATGTCCTGGAATACATCTGATCAGGTCCTGGAGATTTATCCATCTTTATGTTGTTTAAGACCTCCACCACCTCCTCTTCTGTAATGTGGACTGTTTTTAAGACATCAATATTTAATTCCCCGAGTTCCCTAGCCTCCACTTCCTTCTCCAGAGTAAAAATTGACACAAAGAAGTTGTTTAGTATCTCATCCATCTCCTGTGCTTCTATACACAGAAGACCTTGTGTCTATGTGTTGCTTCCAATTCCTTTTATATTATCAGAGTTCTTTATCTCAGTTCTAAGAAGAGACATACCAGACTCAAAATATTAACTCTCTCTCTACTGATGCTGCCAGACCTGCTGAGTTTCTCCAGCACTCTATTTGCTTCTCTCTTTATCTGATGGGATGACTGTTTCTCTGGTTCTTTTCTGCAGGTTGGCTCTCACTGTATTCCTCTTTATTGCCAGAGCTTTCATATCCGGTGGTTTTCAGGCTGCATATGTTTATACTCCTGAGGTAAGATCAATATACGGTTACATGAAAGTATTCTAGAGCCAAGGTATTCACTTCCTATGAGTACAACAGTGTAATGGTTATGTTGTTTGACTAGCAACCCAGAAAATCACAATGGCAGTTCATGAAGCAGTTTTTAAATTATTCAATTAAAACAAATGTGAAACTGTTGGACTGTCATACTGTCAATCTAACTGCTTCACTGATGTCCTTTTATAGCAGTAAAATGGAGAACTGTGTTTAACCAGACCCAAACATTGTTGATTCTTTCACTGCATTTTAATGTGGACTAGCAAGATACTCAGTTCTCTGAAGCCACCACGGTGATTCAAGAAAACTCACTATCCTCTTCTCAAGAATGGACAATACATGTGGCTTTGCCAGTGATGCTCACGTTCTGAGGATGCATACATAAAGGCTCACAATATGATGAAATTGGGAGAGTTGAGTACATTTCACTGATTGGAATTTATACTAATAGATTGACAGATTTTTAAAAACTATCTTCACCTGAGAGTGGCAATTAAAGTTAGAATAATGATTCTGAGACCAAGAGTTAAATTCAGATTCCCTCAAACAATTTGCATGTGTCAAGACGGAGGAGTACACTAAAGAGAATACAGATGAACTGTAAGGTGACAAGAATTTTGGGCTAAATGTGCATGAAATTTGTAATGTTAGTATAAAATGGTTTGCAACTACTAAGTTAAGCTTTCTCCTCCAAGTTCACACTACACTGCCTGCTGATTTACCGCTGCATCATCCACTACCTTTATAGCTGTCTCTTATCCCCTGATGCCAAAACCCCAGTCCATAACTTAGTATATGAAGGTCTTGTTTTACGGTCTTGTGACTGCACCCTGCCTCCAATAACTCACACCCCCATCTAGCCAATTCATTCAAGACATTGCAACTTGGGTTTGCACCTGCATTGAACCCTGATTTACACCACCAATCTTCTCCATGCTGCACTGGCTCTCAATTCCCTGATGAGTTCTCTACAAAATTCCTGTTCTTGTTTCCAATTTCCTTCATTGTCTATCACTCCACTGTACTTTAATGATCTCCTCTTGGTTTAATTCCCCAAATGAATGTTTGCTTTACTAACATTCTCACTTTGTTCCCTATTTCTTGTACCCTACCAGTAGTGGCTGCAAGTTCAATCACCCTCCTGCTGGTTTGTGGAGCTTCTGCCCAGTTTCTTCCCCCTTGCAACCTCTGTTCTTAAGAAAATGCCATTTCCAACAAATTTTTAGCTCCACCACTCTGAACCTCTCCATTTCTTACTCTCTCCTCCTCTGGTTGTGATCCCTGCTTTAAATTCCTTTTATAGAGGCTGTGAGCAGTAAAGTAGCAATACAAAGTGGTTTAGACCAGCTCCAATTATCATCCTTCACTTTATTACCTCATTGGTTTTTTTTTTCTTCCAGGTTTACCCAACTGCAACCCGTGCATTAGGATTAGGAACGTGCAGTGGGATGGCACGAGTGGGGGCTCTCATCACTCCTTTCATTGCACAGGTAAAGATGAATATGAATCCCATCCTTCATCTAATTCATTCCAGCCACAATGTTCTCATTGGACTGGACTCTACTGGCCCTCTTACAATGAGCTCTGAAGTGATAGGGCCCATTACAAGATGGGAGAATAAGGGTTTGTGTTCCTGTCACCTTTCCTCCACTATAGCACTTCACAAGTGGCAGAGTCCCTCTTGTCTAAAGGCCAATTAGGCCATTTAAGTAGCCAATTATGGGTCTCCTACAGCTGCTGCTGCCATTTTACCAGCAGTGGAGTGACAATCTGCCACAAGGGCTAACCTGGTGAAAGCTGACCACTTCCCCGTTGCCAAGAGTAACATGTGCCCCTGCTAACAAACTCAACACTGGGGAGGGCAATTGCTATTCCCAAACTGGACAAAATCTTTCAAAGTTCTTGCTCCTGAACATTACTCAGTAACTGTTGTTAGAAAGTAGTTATATGGATGCCTGCCAAGGACAAGATCATGCTCTGCTGTAATTTGCAAAGTGTCTTTTTACTGCCCACATTCAAACATGAAAATGACCACTTATAAAGTGTAGTGGTGCATTGCCTTCAACAGTGGAATTATGCTTCACAATGTGTCACCCAATATATAAACCAACATGTAGCATGAGTAGGCCACTGGGCCCTTTGAGCTTACTCTATCATAAGATAAGATCATGGCTTATCTGATCACTCCACATTCCCACCTACCTCCAATAACTTTTCATCCTCTTGCTTATCAAGTATCCATGTACTTTGGTCTTAAAAATATTCAAAATCGCTGCATCCACCATCATCTCTTGGAGGAGGAGGAATGGAGATTAAATACTGTAAATAAAGTGTCTATTGCTCCAGAGTTGTACTGATGACTGCCATGTCATGATGGCAAAGATGCAAAGTTGTGATCTAATGCCCTGTGCCAGAAAGCCATGAGATGTAGAGATTTCCATCCATTTTACTTTTCCAGCTCTGCTACCAGACTGAATGGGATTGCAGGCTTCCAGACAGTAAAGAAATTTAGACAGTGTTATCCGTTACAAAAGCCCATATGCTCATCCTAGTGGCTGACTTCAGTGAGTTGGCAAAGGCTTGGAAGCAGTTTGAGCTTTCAGCTAATGATGCCGTCTACTGCAAAGAAATAAGGTCTAAATCAAATAAAGCACCGTCCAGAATACATTGCAAAATGTTAACAATATTTTTATAGTGGAATGAAGAAAGATGTTTTAGTTTACAAAACCTGTTTTTCCCAACCAGGTTATGTTGGAATCCTCAATCTACCTGACACTTTCCGTGTACAGTGGATGCTGCCTATTGGCAGCCCTTGCTTCCTGTTTCCTACCAATTGAGACGATGGGGCGAGGCCTGCAAGAGTCCAGCCAGCGGGAGTGGGGCCAGGAAATGGTGGGCAGGACACATTGCTCAAGCAGCTCAACCAGGAGCACCTAGAATGAATTTGTCACAACAGCAACCAGACCAAAAATGGCCTCGCAGGAAGCAGACAGCATCAAAATCATTACTAATATACACTTATTCTGCTGGTTAATAAGAAATGGTGTGAGTATTAAGGTGGGAAACAAATGTAGTATTCTGCAGGCGCATATATAAACTAAAGGAAACCACAACCTACCCGTGCCCCATCAGTTTTGTGATGTCAAACTAAAGGGCACGTATAAAGGATTGGAAAGTAATGGTAGGATTTAAAGTAGAATGTAAGGGGTGAGCCCTGCCTTTCATACCTTGCCATTTACCCAGCCATAATACAGACAAGCTTTGTTACTACAAACTGCTATGGTATATTCCTTTCCCTTACTGCGAATCAACCCCATTCACTGATAATGCAAATATTTGCAATAGAAAATACAATGGTTATGAATAAATGAATTGAAAACTATCATGGGAATCCATTAAAGCTCAATAGGCTGAATTAAACAATCTCCTATAGCAGCTACACTGGCTCATTTTCAATGATTCATAACTCTTTTACACCAAAGTAGAAAATAGGCACTGACAGTGCACTATTCGAATGAGAACTCAGCAGATGTGATGCTAAGTGGGAACAAACTGGTGCACATGGATTTGCCGTTAACATTGCATAGAGCATCAAACTAACAAGAAATAGTTTCTACAAGACAGGTAAAACAGCAAGCCATAGTAATCTTTGCAATAGAAAGATCAGTTTGTATTAACGAGGTTCGTCTGTAATGCTGTACTATGTAATGGGATTGCTTAATAAACTTGTAACTTTAAACAATAAAAAAAATGTTTGAGGTTGCGCCTCTTCGTGGAAAACTCAGTTATGTACTGAGAAACTAAATATTGTCAACAGGAAATGTATTTCTGTTAACATGTATATACCACAATTATGGCAACCCACTAAACTTCAATGAGCTGGAAGTGCATCAGGTGTATTGCTAAGCAGGTGATATCTTAAATATGAATCTCTTGCTGAAAAGAAAATCAATATTTCTAAGGTGCCATCTCCTGTTGCTTATGCTAATAGACAGTATCCTGTTCTAAGTGGTCACAGTAAGTCATTTCTTATTGCAAATATTAGACTTGATTATTCCTTTTAATTAATCAGTGAGATTATAAAAGGACCTTCACTGCTGCTAAACCAATATTGTAACTGATTATTCTTTCCTATCCTAAAAGCCAATTCCTGATGTGATAATGGTGCTCTTATTCGAACTTAATGAGGGCCAAGGTAAAATTCCAACACATTTTTCATAAGTTAGAAATGTTTCAATTTTTAACTTGTAGCATTTCTGATAGCAAATTTCATTACAAGTATACCCATTTTCAGCTATATATATATAATTGTACTAGGTAAACATGATGTATATTGCCCAACAAGGATTGGCTAAATAACATGCCTCTAATCTTTGGGCTTTCTCAATTGTTTCTTTCATTCATTTTGTAATTCTGCTTGAACCAATATCACTTTCACTTTCTCACGGAGTATCACAACACAACAGTATTACAATAACAAATCTTATTTGCATGAATGAACGCAATATGTAACCTGTGATTATCATGGAAATATTTACTAGGACTAAGGAATGGGGTTGGGTGAGTCCCTCTTAAGACCTTAATCTAACTCATTCACCGGGACATGAAGCAAGACTGAGAAATGAGCAATCAAAACATTTGAGAACTTTTAGAAATTATATAAGTTAATGACAGGAGAATTTGTCTTTGAACTTTGAATTTGTGCTCAACATATCATTCATGAAAACTTTAGTATATGCACTCCAAATTGCACTGGAGTAGCTCCACTAAAATCACACTTAATTAATGTGGCAATACTGAGAACAAATGGCTCATAATTTTAGACATGCAAATCATACTTTTGAGCAAAATAAGTTGTCAATGTGAATAGATATCAAAATGTGCATCCATACAAGAGTTAAAATGCCTTGGAAAAATCGTAATGCACTTGGAAAACAATTAAAATGTAATGATTTTTGTTAAACAGTCAGAAAGATCTGGATGAATGATTCTGTTTATGTGGAGGTGTTTGAGGTATAAATGATAACCAGGACACGTGGAGAACTCCCTACTCTTGTTCAAGAAACAAAATACAGGCTCTGAACTTCTATAGGGTTCTCCTAGTCTGCTTCTGTAACTTCAGTTGATGAGCGTAGAAATTCTTGAAGGAACAGCAGAAATGGCAATTTTAACTGTTTTGTCAGAGATACTGGAAACAACCAGCTGGAAAACCTTTGGGAAAATTTTAATGTTGACCCAACAAGGAGAGGAAATCTTGGTTTAATGCTTAATTTGAAGGCTTGCAACTGCCATAATCTTCTGTTAGCATTTCAATGTAGATTTTGTGCTTAACTTCTGTAGTAGGGCTTGAACAAACAAACTCAAAATGGCTGCCAACTGAGGCAGGCTGACACTTAACCACAAGTAGATTGAGCCATTGTAATAGCCACAAGTCCTCATTCAATGGTTGTTTTTTTGTGATTACTATCCTGACAAGCTAAACACTAAATCTAACTGTTGAAATATGTGCAGCTGCTTTAGATCACTTGCAGATAGTACAGAGAATTAAATATCTGATCTCTCTCCCTGCAAAATTGATCTTTATCTTTGCCATTATACAAGGCTGCAGGGGATCTGCTCTCCAACCTTTACTGATACGAGTCTCAGTCACTTCCAAAATCTTCCTGTTTTTTTTGCAATGCCATTCATGATTGAATGTTTAGGGATATGCTGCATGCAACAGGGCTTATCAAAAACAGAAACAGAAAGTGCTGGAAAGATCAGAGTTAACATTTCAGGTCTGGTGACCCTTCCTCAGAACAGGGCTGATCAAAACATAGACAGCCCTTTCTTATTGGTCATGTGCCACTTCTTCTCATTCTGGGCACTCATTCAGACTGGAAATTAAAACCTCAATTATGTGGCTGAAGTCCAGCCCAATAATTTTGATTGATTAGGCCTAACCTCCACATATTGTCATTTTCTCTTTAATATGATTATGAAGCAAAATCAGCAGTGTGGTAGCTCAGTGGTTGCACAGCTGCCTCACAGCTTCAGGGTGTGTGGAGTTTGCATGGTCTGCGTGGGTTTGCTCCTGGTGGTCTGGTTTCCACCCACAGTCCAAAGATATGCAGGTTGGGTGGACTGGCCATGCTAAATTGCCTGTAGTATCCAGGAATATACAGGTAGGTGGATTAGCCATGGGAAATGCAGTGTTACAGGGTTTGTGGGCAGGGTCTAGGTGGGATGGTCTTTGGAGGTGGGCATGGACTCAATGGGCTGAATTGCCTACTTCCGCACTGTAGGGATTCTATGATTTTATTAAATATGCTGCTCACAGGACAGAGTAGACTTAAATGAACAATATTACTAATTTTAGCATAATGCTGTATCATGACCTAAAAACTGGGCCTCAGAAACTTGAAGAGTCCCAAGTGTATGGCAATCACAATTTTCCAGGGCTAAAATAAAAAGATTCAATTAACAATTTACCTGTTAAACTACCTAATATCAGAGTGATTAAACAAAAATATATCAGATTTACTAAGAATAATCAAGGAAAAATGAGAAATGAATAATCAGGAGCAAACAACATCAAATGCCTCAATTTTTGTAAAATTAATATTTATGAATCACTCATCAACTACAATTCTAAATTATTTTCTCACTATTTTCAGTGCTATTTTATTTTTTAATTCAGGTGAATACAAATAGCTTGAAACTACAGATGCTTATTGAAAATTTTGTTAAAAATCCACATAGAATTAACGATTTAATGTTACTGACACCTCCAAAAAGTTCCTACCATTAAAGTTTGCCCATCTGCCAGGCATTCAGAGCTATAAATATCATTTGGGGCTTGGGTGTAGAGTCAGATGCATGGTAAGTATTGATGGGGTTATAGGGATAGAAGAGGTTAGAATTATGAAGGAGTCATCAATGGTTTTTAAGATGTGGTAAAGAATGCTAAATTGGAAATGTTAAAAGAACTGAGTCAACATGGCTCAGCAAGAACAAGAGTGATTAATACGTTGGAGATGGACTATGGGCTGCAGTAATTTGGATGAGCTGTAATATACCGAGGATGAGAAGCCATTCAGGAGGACATTTGTGTGTTTGGATTTAGAGGGGACAAGAACATGGATGTAAATTCCAGCAGCAGATGTTCTGAGGCACAGGAAGAGACAATGTCACAAAGCAACATTCTGTCGATGTGGTGTGGCTCACATGTGTGCAGATGTTCCAATGATCTATGATTTGCATTGGCACATCAATTGTGGCAATCACTTCCACTTGCTGAAGTCATTGCCAGGCACGGGCCTTGGAAGCTTGTTCAGCCAGTAAGAAAATTAGAGGATACACTGTTACAGAGGTGAAAGTAGGTGGTTCTTCTAGTGGAAAGGATCACAAGTACAGTGCAGGACTAAATAACATGCTAACATTGTAAACATTGGTTCAATCTGAGGTAGTGTCTAAAAAGGGGATAGAATTTGCAGCAAGAGTACAGATTTGAGCTGAAACTGATGCCTTCTGAGAAAACTGATTAGTGTACCTAGCCCATGGAGTGGTTGAACATTTGGTTAATGCTCTAGTACTGACGTTATACCCTAGCTGGTTGGAGATGGTCAATTAGCCAGGTTTGGCTGATAAGCAATTAACCTTTCAGGCACAACTTAGAGTAGATCTAACAATGAATAAAAAACTTTCCATGGCAATACGATGTCAATAGTAGTTTTAGCTAGAATTGGAAATGCATGGAAGAGGTCAAAAAGTTGTCTAATCATACAAATAACCACTGAAGAAGGAATATAAATAACTTACCTGCATTGGGAGTAAAACCTACAAAACTATGGTGGAAGATAGGGGAAGATAATCAGATTAATTTTGTACAGTACTAGTTAACAATACAACAAACATTTTGTTTACATAAGGTGTGTCTTTCCTAACAGTTAGATTATTGTGGCAAATTGACTGTATCACACTGTAGGTTAATAATTGTTGCTGATTCTGAATCAGTACAGTGATAAACATCAGGTCCTGGATTACTCATGAGCATCACCACAAGAGATTTATTAATTTAAACTATATTAAAAACTCAGAATATTTGGGTGGTGGTTATAAACTGTTTGACTTTGTGATTCAAGTCAGCTCTCGATTCCTCAATAAATTTTAGCCTAAAACGCACTCTTGGTTAAGTTGTCATAAACCATGCCAAATCCTTGGTTGCTACCCAGCCTTTAATTTTCTCTTGGTCATGTTACTTCATGTATCAACCAACTGAATCCGTCAAACGGATGATACTTGTAACTTGCACTAACAATTGGAACATGCTCCTTGATTAGGCGTCAGCCTGTTATTCACTCCAAAGAATTATTTTTGCTGACTTAATTGCTAAGGGCACTTATTAGCATTGATACTGCATATTCTTTTCGTAACCATGTTAGCAACCTCAAAGTTCATTGTACTGAAACTGTGTAATATTAGTTATAGTAGACAGAATGAACATACAAATTAGTTTTAGTTTTAGTTTTAGTTTTAGTTCTGTTACTAATACCATTGTACAATTACGGCCAAAACATTTATGCAAATCTATGAAAGTCAAGTGGAAACAGGCACATATCTAGGAAACTTTCATTTATTTGCAAATTTCATTCTGTTCAAGTCTACAACCTTTGCCAAATATATTCTGGGAAAGGAGGGCAGCTTTGAGCCTATGTCCTTGGTTTCCTTTCTGCTTACTAATGAGCAGGAAGCATCCCCAAACAAACTCCATTGCATTATTAGAGGGGGCTTAGGTCTGTATATGCATTGGGGTTAAGGTGAGTCTGTGTTGCAGGTATCACTTTGTGCTTGTTTCAAATTGTGTTTGTGAATACCAGTCTCAAATAATCCAGCTTTCCTGTGAGGTCTTTTTATTCCAAACTATAAGAATGTGTTCAACGTAAGTTCAAATGTGAACTTCATAGCATATTAATAAATTAATGCTGTGCTTTGATAGTCATTGTGCACCTACAGATTGATTGTGTTTATCAGGTGAGTACTGTCTCGTGTTCGAATGTATTTTACTTGTTCTCGAAGCATTGAACTGGAGCATTTTACTGTTTACAAAATATATGCAGTGCTTGCATGACAACCTGTCACTGGTAAACTTTTTTTTGATTTGATGTAAATAAGCTTCATAGCAACAGAACAAAAATGTACTTAATGATATTAATGTTTGCATTGCAATATGAAAAGATAATTTTATTAAATAAAGATTCTTTTTGTATTTCATTTAGGTTTTATTGAGATCTTTTGTAATGAATTTTAAAATTTTTTATAGGTGAGCGAGTTGAATTAATAAATTCATTATTCCACATTAATATGTCAACAATATCAATTCACAATTTTTTTTGTTGCTAAGAACAATATTATAATACACTATTCTGTTTGGCTGAATCAATTACGTTAAAAAGATTAGTTACTTTTATCAAATAACTGTCTTGTTAATTCATTCCATACTGCTAAGGTGATGATGTAATAACACAGCTTCATTCTTCATTCTTTTACGTTCTGATTGCATGAAGGCTGCGCATTTTTTAAATTTAACATAACAATTACAATTGTGAAAAATCAAAAATACAGTATGAAAAATTATTTTTGAGTTGCATTCACATTAACTTGTCTTATTATTTGTCTTTAGTTCACTAAATTAATTCAAGGTGTTTTCAACACTGAAGTGTTTATTGATTGGATGGATTATGTGCAACCATTGCAGATCCCATTAAAAACACTTTATTCCTACTCGATAAGATTCAATTAAATGACAGAGTCATAAGAATTGTACAGCACGGAAAAAGACCTTTCAGTCTAGCTCATCCCTGCCAATCAGATATTCTAAATTAATCTAGTTCCATTTGCTACGAATCACAGCAAATAAAATTCACAGTAGCACAATTTAAATGCAAAAAATTCTGCAAGATAATTCAGGTTATGGTTACTGCTCCATGCGTAAATTGCTGATTTTTTAAAAAAAAATTGATTAACATAATTAAAAAATTTAAATACTAATCTTTCCTCCTATCATTTGTCAGGATAGTTAATCAGGACAGACCAAAACAAACTGGGATATCCAGACAGCCTAGGTTAGTTAAAAAGAGCAGTGCTCTGGTCCACCTATCAAGTCTAAAATGTAGACTAGAAAGAAACAAAAATCACAATTTAAAAAGAGTAAAAGAAGGAACAAAATCACATTAATACGAATTTGTACCACTGCACTGTGCCATAGAGTGAGTGGCACAGCGATTCCCTACTGCAAATTTCCAAAGTTCACCAGCGAGTATCTGGCATGAATCATATGCACATTTCGCATCAATTTTCAAGTCCCAAAATGGGGTTACAATGGGAGAAAGCTTGGGAAGCACTATGTTAATGATTTAAAGCTTATTTGCATAACATTTGGGGGTATGAAGTGCTGAAGCCATTGTATTTTATGCTTTAATAATCTGTCTCATTGAACCTTTTATAGGTTGCAAGAACAGGAGTTTCCTTTTCATAAACAGTTGTGAATGGGTTTTTTTCTGAGTAGTGTTACCCTTGCCATTGTTACCATATGGTTCACTCATTCTGCCCATAGTGTATACTTGGCAAATGAGCAGAGAAGGGCGATAGGTTTTAATGAAGTGGATGGGTAGGAACAGTAGTAGGCACTGAGGCTATAAGGGACCAGGAAGTTGGGTGGCAACATAAGATGGCACCAAATTGAAATGGAGAGGGGATAGAAGGCACGGAACTGGTACTGGTTAAACCTTTTGAAAAGATTCCCAAATCCAGACTATTATTCTTGACACCTCCTCAACAAGCCAGCCCAGTTACATTAAAATCGCAGATGCTAGGAGATGACTATCTTCAAACAGGGGAGGCAATGGCCTTGTGGTATTATCCTTAGACTATTAGTCCAGAAACTCAGCTAATGTACCAGGGACTTGAGTTCAAATCGCACTGCAGCAGATGGTGGAACTGAATTCAATAGGGAAAAATAGCTGGAATTAAGAATCTACTGATAACCGTGAAACAATTGCCAATTATTGAAAAACCCATCTGGTTCACTAATGTCCTTCAGGGAAGGAAGTCTTCTATCCTCACCTGGTCTGGCCTACATGTGACTCCTTGCACACAGCAATATGCTTTACTTTCAAGTGCCCTCTGAAATGGCCTAGCAAGTTACTTATTTCAAGGGAAGCTAGGGACAGGAAATAAATACTGGCCAGGTAGCGATGCCCATGTTGCACAAATGAATAATTAAGAAAAAACAAAATGCAGTGTAAGGATTCACCACTCATATCAATTTCCTGAGCCAGTGAAATTTGGGAGCACCAAAAATGGGGGCAGAATCTGCCTGCCATTTTTAAATGGCTTGGGAGGCTTTCCAACTCATGAAAATGTGGGTTGACAAGTAAAAGTTTCTTTTTGTTTTGGGGCCATTTATCATCATCATTTGAAGAAGCGGAAGTGACAGTATGGAAGAAAGGTAATTGTGACTTTGAATCATTACAACTGGGATCTCCAGCTGGGTTTCTTCTCTTGAAGGATCCTTCCAAAGATGTTTGCTACTTCCATGGCACAGCCCCAGTGAATAGTCAGGCCATAACCCCCGTGACCATAGTTGTGGATCACCTACAAGATCAAGAGACCATGATTGAACTTGAAAATTTTGGTCCTGCTATGCACCAAATCAAGACACAATATGATTGAAGATCACTAAATTAGATACCGAAAGAAAAAAATTGCAAGCTGGAAATTTACAATACAACAGAAGATGCATACAGGTAGTCATCCTATAACACAACAGTTGCATTCTTGTGTGACCTCGTGCTATAGAAAAATCGCACTGTAGAAAATAGTCATAGAAAATCATATTATAGGGAAATTGATATAGAAAAGTCGCTATACTGTACAGAAGAAAGTTTGTATTATCCAAACAGCGTCCACTATTCTTCAATCACATTACAGCCAATTCACGTTAACGAAACACGCGTTATAGCAGAAATACCTGTACATACATTTGACCATGCATTTAGGCAACACAGGTTAAAATTCTGATGAAGGGTCCCTTCTATTTTAAAGTTTAATTTGTAGTTCCTTCTTTTAAAGGTTGTAATGGCCCCACTTCGCACTTCCACTAATTTTGAATTAATGAAATGCACACTGCTATATTGTTCAGTGATCCTCTTTGGCAAAACCTAGTCAAAATAATTTAAGCTGTCGGTGCCTACTAGGTGCTATTTTGGTGATGTGCCACCAAGAGAAAATAATCTTCAGGCACAATCAAAATAACTCAAGGCATTTGCAGGCATCATTGCCACAGTTTGCTTGTCTGAACCTTAGAATTTTGGATCACACTGAAGCTCAGAGATAATATTCTGAGACAAGTGGATGTATTGCATTTGTCTGGAATCAGGAGGAGCATTCAGCTCTGTAAAATAAAAACATTAGACTATTTTTCCCATTGCAAGCTCTGACTAAAACAGATGAGTTGAGGAGTCCATGTCTACAATGAGTACAGGAACCTAATTTCAATATGAAAGTGAGTCTGCATCCATTTCAGGCAGAGACCAAGACACCAATTTAGCAGTGGCTTAAACCACCATGAAAAATCAGGCATGGGAGTCTGCACTACCAAACATGTTACTGTGCCTATTTCAGGCCCATAATAAAAGTACATGATCATTAACTTTACACTCCATTTTGTTTTGTGGAAATTCTGGCAAGTGTTTGTAAATGAAGTAATCTAATTTTACCAGCAGATGGTGATGTTGTATTTTATTGCAGTGACTCCTGCTGTAATGGTTTGTCATTTATCTATGTGATTTAAGCTATAGGCAGCTTTCTGAACAGCCTGCAGGATGACCAAATCTGTTGAAATAAAGCAAGGGACACTTCAATCAGGAGACAGACAGGAAAAGTTGAGTTGGGGCCACAATCAAATTAGCCATGATCATCTTGAATGGTGAGCAGGCTCAATGGGCTGAAATGCTCCTATTTCTAATGATAACCCAGCTGTGTGGGAAGGGGATATTATTTAAATGTGGCACATCCCTCACACCATTCTTCAAAAATTCTATTTATCTTAATTGTCTTCAACCAGACTGTTAGAAAAATTACAAATGTTCTTCCTTGTCAAGAGCCTGCAGGTCAGTCTCTCAGACAAAAGCTAACATCCCTGTTAACTGATATTGACACCAGATCTTTAAGTACAAATCTTTCATCACAGAAATACTAACTGATATTCTCTATTCCAATTAAAAGAACTACAGAATGATTTTAAAATTCAGAATCTACTGGTACTCACCCTCTATAAGGATGTTTCATTCCCAAAGGAAAGTAAGTTCACTTGAATCTTTGCATTGCCCTATATGCTGGGGCTCTGGAGGGCTGAATTTTCCCTCTGGGATCAGGAAACAGAGATTGAGATTGTTTCCATGTCCTGAAACATCCCCCAGGAGAAATAGTCATTTGTGATTTTGCCTATGGTAGTGAATGAATTCTCCATCTAATTAAGGATGGTGGATGGGCTCACAAAGCTGGAGGGGTAATTACAGGCCTACCAGCTTGAAACAAGCAGTGTGCTACAATGGTAGTAAGAAAGAGAGGGGCCCCTTCAAGATGGAGGCAATATCTCTAACATTTTGTATCTTTAAATGGCAATATAGATTTAGCACAAGATGACACGGTGTGATTGAGCAGTGGTAGGTAGGTGGAATCCTTCTACAAGGCTTCTCCTGGACTCAGAGGCAGGGACTTTTTAGGACTGGTTGGAGCATTGGCCTCCTGGCATGTTGCTGGAAGGCTGTGTCCACCTAAATTGGGTTCCACCCAATGTAAACTGTGAACTGCAATCTTACTGAGTCTACTCAGCACATTGCAGGGTAACTATCTGGCCCACAAATACATCTCTGCAAAATTATGTCGGAAATGAGATAAAGCTCACACACAGACCAACAGGGTTTATTCTTGTTCCCACCACTTCTGAATCCAACCTTGACATTCGTACTCATTTTTCAACCTTTCAGAATATTGATCAGGATGAATTTGCAATAGAATGATGAAATTCACACTCCTTCGTCATCAGAATTAAGTAGTGTTGCACCTAACCTACAATAATTAGGTAAAGTTCCAAGTTAGTTTAATGGGATTGACGGCTGTGTCACATTTCTCTTTATAATAATCAGCTTGTGCCACTGTTGCCTCCGAATCAGATGAGTGCAGCACAAACTCCATTGAACATGTAACCTAGGCTAATACTTCAGTGTAGCTCTGAGGATATGCTACCTTTTCAGAGAAGCTTACTTTCAGATAATTGTATAGAAATTCCTCAAGTGTTGTGTCAGGTGATATCAGATCAATGGAATATCTGATATTGAGTCCCATTGCAGTCAATAGAACGAAATATCAAGCTCTGTGTAGACCAGATAGCTAAATCCTCACTTGTCTATTCAGAGGAAAGAAGAAACTTGCTCTACACTGTTTTAAGAAAGCAGACATTTTGGTCAACACCATTTAAAATCAATATTTAATTAGTGATCCCTCGGCCTTTTGTGACCCCTTGCCATAAACATAAATTATCGTGTTTGGAAACAAAATTACAAGGCATAAGTAATTCATTGTCTTTGAATTGTTTTTGGTGTGTGGCGGGGGGAACGTGCATGTCTTTGGGAGTTGTTTATGATGGATGTATTTGTATTTATTTTATTATATAAACAAAGAGCTAGGTTCTGCTTATTTCTAATTTTTTGTTATTGTCACAGTGACTGTGCTGGGCAGTGTTTGTTGATTGGGTGATTTGGTAAAAGTAAAAAGAACTCAGCTAGTCTTCTTGGGATAGAGTAGCACCACGGGGGTTGCAGTGCATAATTTCTCTGATCTATGCCATTTTAGTTTGCCCCCTTGGTTCCTCCTTTTTGAATTTTGTTCCTGTTACATTTGCAATTTGTTCACTGGGCGATTTGTAAATTGAGCAGTAGGTTTCTTTGATCCATTGCCCCTGGTCATCAGCATTTGTTGTTTGTTAATTGGGTGATTGGGTAATTTTGTAAAATGAAAAGGAGAAATACAGTGAGGTTTCTTGAATAGGTGGGCATCAAGAGCTGGGGTGAATAATTTGCTACTCCAAAGACATTTTGAATTAGTTTCCCCCACTCCCTTTGTTTTCCCCTTTTTCGTCTTTGAATTTTATTTCTTCTAACACTGCTTCTGATAAGCAGGACTTGTTAATCGGGTGATTTATTACATTGGTGATTTATTTTTTAATCAAAGCGGAGATTGATTTCTCCCAAATGGGATCGGATGGTGGCGGCAGCTGTAGCTTCTGGATAAAGGATCGAGAAGGAACAGACAGAAACTGGTGTTTGTGGTAAATACAATAAAACTCACAATAAAATTTATGATAAAACTCTTGAGAATCTCTGAAAATCTTTTGCTGCCTAATTCAACCTATGAATATCAATCTGTTAAACAGTGAAGGGAGTGAATGTTAAAGGTAATGGATGAGTGCCAAACAAGCAGACTATTCATCTCTGGTCTCAAGCTTCCTAAGTGTAGCTGGAATTGCAACCAGCTGGGTAAAAAAGAGAGAATTTCATCACACTCCTGGCTTGTGCCTTGTAGATGGTGGGGCCAAGAGTTAGTCCGCGCAGAATTCATGATGTTGTATACACAGAATTTATATGGCTTGTCCAATTTGGTTAACGGTAACCCCCAGGATGTTGACAGTGGGGGATTCAGCCATGGTAAAGCCACTGCATGGCACGAGATCGTTAGATTCTCTCCAGTTGGAATAGGTCATTTCCTTCCAATAGCAAATGTTACTTGCATCTTATTAGCCCATGCCTGGATGTTGTGCAGGTCTTGCTCATATGGACATGGATTGCTTCAGTAATGATGAATGGTGCTGAACATCATTCAATTATCAGTGAACATCCTCAATTCTGCCCTTGTGATGGAGGGTGTTCTTGATCAAGCAGCTGAATATGGTTGGGCCTAGTACATTACACTGATGAATTGCTGCTGTGATGTCCTGGGATAAGATTATTTACCTCTGGCAACCAGCAACATTTTCCTTTGTGTTTGGTATAATGCGAACTAGCAGACAGTTTCATTGATTCCAGTTCTGCTAGGACTCCTTGATGCCACACATGGTCAAATTTATGTAAACAGCAGACACTCTTGCTTCACATCCAGAGTTCAACTCTTTTATCCATGTTTGGGTCACCATTTTTAAAATTTATTCTTTCTGATTTGGTGTCATACCTCAAATTTCTTTGGTCCCGCATTAAAGATTTGTCGCTCTATTCGAATCCTGTTCCGGGTAGGTCGAAGTCCAGTCCAGTCTTCAACAATCCTGGCATTCTGCAAGAAGTCATTTTCTTAATGAATTAATAGACATTCATACAGATGGCTTCCATGCGCTTATTATTCTCCACAAGAATTCTGATTTCCAGTATAGTGGAATAGAACTCTTAGAACCAACCTTCAAACTAGGTACAAGCTTGCAGGCACCTTCCCACACTATGTTGTGGTCTTTGGGGTCATTCTCCTCATTCCAATTCCCAAGCTGGAAGATTCCTCCCACGGTTACTAACCTGCTTCTAAAATTAAAAAAAAGCAAAACTGACAGCAAGGCAGTTTTCAAGTTTAAGGTGGCACTCAACCTTGTTAAATGCCAACAGTTAAAACGTTGGTTCCAGTCCAGCATATATTTTCTAGTCCATGTTTTATGCCACTTCACAAATCACAGAACTCCAAAAACACTGAATATTTGGTCACCCATATACAAATTTTCTCATCAAGTGCTCGCCAAATTATCACTTGCTCTCTTGTTTCATTTGGTCTCTGCATCCCTGCCGAATCCTACTCAATGATTACAGATCCTTTTTTCCCTTTTTGAAGTAAATTAATATATAAATAATAATTAACAACAATCAAAGCAAAAATCAAAATGCAAAGATATATTACTGTTTGCTTTATACAGTGTCCATTACAGTTCTAAATATCATTTTTCTAGTTTTTCTAATATTTTTTGGAGCTTGCTCCTTCCTTCGTGAAACAAATCAGAAGCTGACTACTGCTACCCACCAATATCAATGTGAGGATTTCTCTGTTCTCTAGCATCTATTTTAAAGTTGTAATCTCAATATGCAGTCTTTTTAAATTCATGCAGTTTGGTGCAGTTTTGCTGCCGCATCCTTTTTTAGAGTTTCTTCCAACATTTTTAATAAGGAAAACACCACATCTACCACCTTGTCAACAGCAAGAGTTCCTGCTGCTAGGTACTTCTCAAAACTCTTCTGATCTTTTTAGCTTCTCAAACTAGAGTGCTCAAACTTTACTTCCCGTTTCCAAAAGAAAAAAATATAAACTCCTGTACTGGAGAAGCCATCAGAGATTTGCACAAGAAGCATCAGTAACACAAAAAGGTTTAATATTGCTGGCATCTTCCAATGACGGAAATTAAAATATACAATGCTGCAATTTAAATTTTTTTGGAAAAGTTTTGTTCACCTGAATATCATCTGCTTGAGATTTTTCATATTTGTACTTAAATAAAAAAACCATAAAACTGTCATCTTGCCTTGTTTGGATGCTACAGTAATTCAGCTGCCCAATTAGTCTTTTCAATTCCTACAGTTCAATTGTGCAAGCCACTGCATCTTTTTATGAGACACTACTTTGACTAACTGCAATGGGGCTAACATTTTCTAAATAAGATTGCTAAGAGACACTTGATCATTCTGCCCGATAGCCAGTCTGTGTATTTAAAAGCCATTGAAGTCTGACTTCAAATTTTGAATTACGTTTTAAGCCCTTTTATGACAATGTTTACAAATTCACTGCTCCCACATCATAGAGTTATACAGCACGAAAACAGACCCTTTGGTCCAACTCATCCGCACTGACTAGCCATCCCAATCTGACCTACTCCCATTTGCCAGCATTTGGCCCATATCCCTTGAAACTCTTCCAATTCACTTACACATCCAGATGCCTTTTAAATGTTGTTATTGTACTCACTTCCAGCACTTCCTCTAGCAGCTCATTCCAGACATGCACCATCCTCTAAATAAAGGTACCCCTCAAGCCCCTTTAAATCTTTCCCCTCTGACCTTAAATCTATGCCCTCTAGTTTTAGACTCCCTGACCCTGGGGAAAAGACCTTGGCTATTCACCCTTTCCATGACCACCATGATTTTATAAACCACCATTGGGCCACTCCTCAATGTCTGACACTCCAGGGAAAATTGGCCCAGACCATTCAGTCCCTCCCTATAGCTCAAACCCTCCAGTCCCAACAACAGTCTTATAAATCTTTTCTGCACCCTTTAAAGCTTTAACAACATCCTTCCTATAAAAGGGCAAAGAGAATTGTACACAGTATTCCAAAAGTGACCTCACCAATGTCCTGTGCAGCCACAACACTGTCAACACTCAATGTTATGACCAATGAAGGCAAGCATGCCAAACACCTTCTTCACAACCCCGTCCACCTGCGACTCCACTTTCAAGGAATTATGCTGCTGCACACCTAGGTCTCTTTGTTCGCCAACACACCCCAGTGTCCTACCACCTACCATGCATGTCCTGACCTGGTTTGCCTTACCAAAATGTAACACCTCACAGTTATCTAAATTAAACTCCATCTGCCACTCCTCAGCACATTGGCCCATCTGATCAAGGTCCCATTGTACCCTGAGATATTCTTCTTCACTGTCCATTACACCACCTATTTTGGTGTCATCTGCAAAACTACTAACCAAACCTCCTATATTCACATCCAAATCATTTGTATAAATGACAAAAAGCAGACAAAAAAAAATCAACATGCATCATAAAGATCCCTGAAAGGTGCCTCTCATGGTAGGGTCCAGTTTCAACTGAGGACATCTGGTTTTTAATAAGAAAGGCCTTCCTGAAAAGTACCAACTCTAGAGGCAGCATTTGGGCCACATATGAATTAATTTAATTTATGGAAAGGCTGTCCCTTCTGCATATGATGTCTCTTTAGAAGGGTGAAGAACTCTTCCCTTTTGAGCTGATCTCCCTGCAGAAATGCAGTTTTGATGTTAATTGACCTCCATCGCTAAACATCTGTTTTTTGTAAAACTAAGAAAATTTTTAAAATTGCTGGGTGATATTGTAAGTGAATCTACTCTTCCATCTTGGTCCCCCAACTTATCTTCAAACCATCATGCCACTATCCTTGCTTTAACCTTATATGTCCATAAGGATGTACGTATTCCTCCATATCCTTTATGCAATAGAACTGGCTGTCCCCTATATGATACGTCTGTATACACCCCACATACTGCTGTTTGGCAGTTTTTATGAATGCCTTCTAATTTGTTTGGTGGCATTCACACCTATACTCCAAAACATCAGCCTGAAGTTCTAGGTTATCAGAACAGTGATATTACCACATTCCCACCATCTTCGCTATATGGGTTTCGGCTCCTGGTGAAATTCCTGGTATGTACTATATTCTTTGACTTTAAGATAGGTCTTCTATCTCACCTTCTATCATTTTCTGGATGTTACTGTTTGATCTGGTCCTCCGATTAAAATGATTCCTTTCAAAAGTGTGTGATCTTTTTTCTAGGGGCATGTTTGCTCCCTGAGCCACTGTACAAGTTTACACTGCATTTTCTGTTCTCAATTTTTGTTCGTCATGTTCCCAATCCAGAATCTTAACCTACCATTCCTCATGTTATACATCAAACTAGCTGTTATATTTTCCAAAGGCCTTCCCTGCTGTACTTATCACAGACAGGTTTCTTCACTGACCAGCTCCATCTAGTAAATATTTGACTGTAGTGTCTACTTTTTGAAGTTGTCCATTGGGACCCATTGTCTCATTGATTAAAGAAACCTGTTCTGATAATCAAATAAACTGCCAATTGCAAAGGTTTGATCCTCATACCTGGTCAAGGGATACCTGATTCCTCATCACTTTCTACAACTCCTTTACAATATGCATATTTGTAATTCATACCCAGCAACCTTGAAAAGTATACCCAAACTATTTCCCATGTTGTACAATTATTATTGTCTTTATAATAACCTTTCTGTTCCCCATCACTTGCCTCCAACCCAATGCCTCCCACTCATCCTGGCCTACCTTAAACACGTCATCACTTACGAGGAGCTGTGAAGGAGGGGGTGTTGTTTGCCTTTTCCCGATATTTCCTCTCCTACCGGGGAGCTATTAGAATGGAGGTACAGTTCAGCGTTTCTAAAGGAGGTCTAATGGAAATCTCTGGTCAGAAATGTGAAGCTCTGTTGTTCGTAGAGTCTCAAGAGTTGTACAGCACGGAAACAGATCCTTCAGTCCAACTTGTCCATGCCGACCAGACATCCTAAATTAATCGAATTCCATTTGCCAGCATTTGGCCCATATCCCTATAAACCCTTCCTATTCATGTACCCATCCAAATGCCTTTTAAATGTTGTAATTGTACCAGCCTCTACCACTTCCTCTGGCAGCTCATTTCATACACTCACCACCTTCTGCATGAAGCTGCCCCTTAGGTGCCTTTTAAATCTTTCCCCTCTCACCTTAAACCTATGCCATCTAGTTTTGGACTCCCCTACCCTGGGGTAAAGACCTTGGCTATTCACTCGATCCATGCCTATGATTTTATACCCTTCTAGAAGGTCACCACTCGGCCTTCAGGAAAATAGAATCCATAGTGGCAATCTGTATGTGATTATCACTCCTCAGAAAATCCAATCCATTATGCTCAAATTTGCACTAATTCTCTAAATTCATAATTACCAAATTGTCCTCTATTATCAATGAGAAATTTTGCCATTCATTCAAATATGGCACGTTTCCAGCATGTTATCCACAATTATTTTCTTATCTTTATCAAGTATTATTGTCTGCTGACTAAATCTGGTTGCCAAATCTACAAAAGTATAAAATGAAAATGCTTTTCTTCATTCCAATCTTTTAAAATCCATAAAACCGAACCTCCTCAGGTTGGAAACAGTTAGTGCTGATGCATTTGCCCTAGATCACACAGGCATCCAGAAGCCACCACATCCTGACATCATAGCACCTTACTTGCCCTGCCATCTTTATCATGTGTAAATTAATTTATTACTTTTACATGATTATTATATAGTTAAAATCCCTTCTAGAATCATCAGATTTTGTTAGTGTTGGTAAAGTTTCTATCCTTAATAGGACCTTACAAATACAAATAAATAACCTTTGTTTTTAAAGATAAAGAGAAAAAACACTCACCCAGCATTCACTTACCTGTTTCCTTGTGACATCACACTTTGATGCTTTCTCTCAAATGGATCACTTCACAGACTGAGACCTTGCTCCAGTTAACTATTTAACTCTAACCCTTGTCACAAAAGTTTAGCTGATAGACAGATCATTATATGGAAAGTGACAAAGCAATCCTGAGTCTTTGTTCATCAAGTACCCCAGCTTTTCTGAAAGTAACGTGAAAAGATACAAAAGATACAAGAGGACTGACACTTCCCTGCAGGGAAGAAAGGAACGGTAAAGAACTTATCCATCCTGCTTTTTCATATCTCATAGCTTGATTGCATCCACCAACACTGGTACAGGGGTGGACATTTCAAGAAAAAGGGGCTCATCCTGAAATAAAGGAAGACTACTTTGTCACTGCTTTGTCCTGTGAACAAAATTCTTTCTGGATTAGTATGTTTATAGACACAAGAATAACTAGTTTATAAAGCTCTGTCACAGCCCATTTTGCCTACATATTCAAATAAAATGTGCAAAAACAAATATAGGAAAGTCAGTAGAGCCGAGGCGGGGAAGAAGGACAGAAACAATCAAAATCAACAATAATGATGCCTGACAGGAAACAAAAGCAAGGAACAAAATTCCAGAGGACTGACAATTGGAGCATTTATTTATTTTCTCCATTCAAAAAAAACTGCTCTCCCATCAACGTTCATAATAGTTACCTTTGTAGCTTTCAGTCCTTTAGGTGATTTGTTTATACTTACCCTGGTATAATATATGGTTTGGTATAAATCCCAGCCTTTTGATCATGTGACAGAATGAAGTGCTTTATCCATGGTGCATAAACCTGATAAAATAATTTTAAGTCAATAAGATATGAAATGACTGAAATACTGGGTAACTTGAAATAAGTGAAAAATATTGTACAACAGTATTTCAAATATATTGGGAGCAAATACTAGGACTGTGGTAAATTATTTGCCAAATTATTACTACACAAAAATAGCAATCTAATATTCAGATATTTTCAGCAATGTTAATGCAGCATACATTCTTTACCAAGTTTTAAATGGTGTTTCAATGGAATAAAATTCTAATTAACCCAACTGTAATGGGTGAATTCAAGTAACTTAAATTATGAAAGGAATATTTTGCTAATTTGCTAGCATTGGTTCCCACGCATCAGGTTGTTTCAGATTAGCATTTATGCCAAACCCGATTTGTCACTCACATTGCTTTCAGTAGAGGCACTCGAATAATTATTCTGTTGTGATAATTTGCATGTTAACACAACTATCACACGTGGTTTATTATGTGCAAGGGTGATAAACACCAAGAAATTCATGGAACTTCCGCATTCTAGTTACAGATACACATTAAGAAATATCTTAGTGAAAGCTTTTGGCTCTCTCTTGGT